GCCGCGTAGCAACGACGAATGCTGCAGCGACGCCGCGTAGCAACGACGATGCTGCAGCGACGCCGCGTAGCAACGACGATGCTGCAGCGACGCCGCGTAGCAACGACGATGCTGCAGCGACGCCCGTAGCAACGACGATGCTGCAGCGACGCCGCGTAGCAACGACGATGCTGCAGCGATGCCGCGTAGCAACGACGATGCTGCAGCGACGCCCCNAGCAGAACACTCACCAGCAATCAGTAAGAACATAAGAACAGCAGAACACTCACCAGCCATCAGTAAGAACATAAGAACATACAGAACACTCACCAGCCATCAGTAAGAACATAAGAACAGCAGAACACTCACCAGCGATCAGTAAGAACAGCAGAACACTCACCAGCCATCCGTAAGAACATACAGAACACTCACCAGCCATCCGTATGAACATACAGAACACTCACCAGCCATCAGTAAGAACATACAGAACACTCACCAGCCATCAGTAAGAACAGCAGAACACTCACCAGCCATCAGTAAGAACAGCAGAACACTCACCAGCCATCCGTAAGAACATACAGAACACTCACCAGCCATCCGTATGAACATAAAGAACACTCACCAGCCAGACAAGGAGCGGAATGACGAGCATCGTGTAGGTGACGGCTGAGTAGACGTTGCCGCGCCGCTGCTCGGGGATGATGTCGGGTGACTTGAGCAGCACGATGGCGAGGATGACGGCGTACAGCACGCCGATGAGAGCCACCGACAGCACGATCCACGTCGGAATCAATATCACCTGGCCGGAATAAAGGAATAGTTTACGCGTGGGGACAGCGCGATCCACGTCGGAATCAAGATCACATGGCCGGAATAAAGAGCTAGGTTACACGTGGGGACAGCGCGATCCATAACGGAATAAAGGAATAGTTTACGCGTGGGGACAGCACGATCCACGTCGGAATCAAGATCACATGGCCGGAATAAAGAGCTAGGTTACACATGGGGACGGCGCGATCCATAACGGAGTAAAGGACTAGGATACACGTGGAATAATGGAAGGAAGGACTATGTTATGCATAAAGACATCTCATCCATGTAGGAATCAGGATCCCCAAGCCGGAATAAAGGACGCGTGGGGACAACGCAATCCATGATGGAAGAATAGGCTAAGTTACACATGGAGACATCTCGTTCAATCCATGACGTGAGAATGGGCTAACTTACATGTGGGAAAAGTACAATCCCCGTTTCCAATCCATGAGGAGCAAGTACCAACATGAATCTTTTTATGTAGGCAGTTACATTGCAGTAAAAATTTGTCTTGCCACAGAGATGTTTATCTGGGGAACATGAAGATGGCAAACAAGATGCTTCCTGATCGTGATAAACGTTTAAGCATGTCAATGACACACATGCATATTACAATAAATAATCAAAGACAGAAAAAGCAACCTACCACCCAACTCCATCCGATGATCTCGTCCAATCGCAGAGGAATGAAGATGAACTGCAATATGTTTACGGAACTGAACAGCTCCATCTACAGTGAAAAAAGGAAAGGATTTCATTAGACAAAGCTTACGCAGCAGGGCCACTGGCCGAAAAATTTCTAGGGGAGGGACAAAATTTAGTTACTCAGCTGAGCAGTCATGATAGAAAGAAAGGTGCACCTCTCTGTCAGTGTATATAGTATGCGTGTGTGTGTGTGTGTGTGTGTGTGTGTGCGTGTGTGTGCATGTGTGTGTGTGCATGCGCATGTGCGTGTGTGTGTGTATGTGCGTGTGTGTATGTGTGGGGGGAGGGGTCATGTGATAACCTGGGATTATAGCTGCAAGCACTAATGACTGCATGATGATTTATATGTATTTTAGGGTTTGTTACGATAGCCTCTCTAGTCATTTTGCGCATCTACCCATCTCGCCCCCTCTCCACAGGCTACGACTCCTACCGATACCACCTTGCTGGTACTACTACAGGACTGCCCCACCCCCCGAGTCAACCGTTCAAGGATATAAGAGCTGCTCCCCAATTCATATTCCCAATGTGCGACATGTGCAAATGTGGACAGCTCTTATATCCTTGGGCCGAGTCAACTAGCGGGCGATCCAGTCGCGCCGCGTCGTACCTCGAACGCCCGGTCGTGCCGGAAGCCCCAGATGCAGACGGCGATGGCGATGATGCTGACGAAGACGAGCGGGATGAAGACGAGGGTCCAGAGCGGCTGCCGCGCGTCGTGCACGTTCTCCAGCTTGTTGCAGACGAGCATCTCGAACATGAGGAGGATGACGTGCAGCGCGACACTGATCATCATCGCCTTGTAGTGGACGTAGCCCTCGCCCTCGATCCTACGTTAAAATCACGTTAAGTTACAGGGGCCGGTTTCACGAAGCGTAATTAAGTCCTTAATCATGATTAAATCACTAATCATGATTAACTTCTCGTACTTAAATTGAAGTGACTGTTTCACGAAGCTAAATTAACTTTAATCATGATTAACTTCTCGTACTTAAATTGAAGTGACTGTTTCACGAAGCGTAATTAACTTTAATCATGATTAAGTTAATCACAATATTTAATTCTACTCAGGGGCATGATTAAATCCACTAATCATGATTAGTTGCTAGTACTAGTAGTAGTATGTAGGTAACTAATCATAATTACAGGAGGTTGAGTATGATTAGTGATTTAATCATAATTAAAGTTAATCACGCTTCGTGAAACCGGCCCCTGGTATATATATCGGCATCCGTTCATCTACGTGAGATGGTGGATATGGAGCAACATGTCATATCTGGTGAGGCCACTCAGTTGTTCATGCTGCAAAAATGGCTGCTACCTGCTAATTACAGGTAGGTCCCGTTTCACGACGGTCCGTGTTACGACTTCACATTTTCATTTACGACTTCACTTTATTTCGAGTTTATTTCGAGTTCGAGTTTCGAGTTTCGAGTTTCGAGTTTATTTCGAGTTCACTTTATTTCGTTTATTTCGATTTTCACTTCACTTCACTTTATTCACTTCATTACGACTTCATTTACGACTTCACATTTTCAAAACTACCTAAAAAATTGAAAATAACAAAAAAAATCGCAACTCTATAATAACACATTGCAGCAACGCCTGTGAGTCCAAACACGCAATATGTGCTTCTTTTGTTTTTCATGGTGCATTGTGGGTGGAATGATAGCATTTAATTGCATTGTAATTTGGTCTTGTTTTAGGACTTTTCATTTTACGACCATGTTTTACCGGAATCTAACCCTGTCGTAAAACAGGACCTCAGGGTTCTCCCTACGTTGCGCAAACGGGGCGCGCGCGCCCCGTTTGGGGAAACTCCCCCCTGTTTGAATCGTTGCGCCCCGTTTGAATTACCTCTGGCCCGTTTAAATTCCACCACAATAAAAGTTTGCCAGCGTGGGAATCGACCGTCAAGAATTGCCGTTCGACCAGGACACCCGACGCGTGTATTTTTACCGTACCACGCATGCACTGCAGACAGTACACAAGTTAACCTGACAATGCACAGTTAAC